TATATTTGGAAACTCATATTTTAATAAAAACACGAACAATAAATATTAATATGCTTTTGAGTTAAACACATATTCTACGAAATATCATTAGAATCCACTCTGCAATAGTTTAAATAAAAGTTTTATTATATTTAACTACTACAAAAAAAAAAGTTTAATAAAAATGACTATTTCCTGTAAATTTTTAGTTGAATTTCGGTAATTTTCTTTGTCGCTATGATAAATAAAACCAAAATTTGTGAAAATAGTTGTGTTAGTAATTTTGCGTGAAGGAAATAAAGGTTTTTTGACTTGATGATTTTTTTACACCTTCCGTAGCTAAAATGAGATGGATTCTTAAATATAGTTTCTTGTAATTAGCTCACAAACTTGATTAAAAATATTCCAGGCTTATATCGAATTATTTCCGTTCTTCCCGTATTTGTATCAGGCTAAAAATAGTGCGACTTAGAATATATGTAACGCCATCTAGTATACTTCAAAACATATACAAAGTTCATTTTCCGTATATAAAATTTATATTTAAAATATCTTTTTTTGTTATAAATGGTTTTATCAAATAACAGTTTTTATCACTAGTTATGGAGATTTTTATTATATTAGAATATATTATTTAAATAAGATTTTTACAATGAATCATCAAAATGTAAAAATGGTTGCTATCATAAAATTTTTAATTATCTATTAAAACTTCCAACTTTCATCCCTTTTAGTGATAGTTTCAATCGAGATAAAATGGTCATATTTTTTATACCTTCCCTCTGCCTTAAATTACTAAAATAGCAATCAAGTTACATCGATGTAGGTCCAAAAATAAACACTTTTTTTATAAATATATTCATCCTTTTTAAGCTCCTTCGGAGTCAAATTTACAAAATTCCGTTTTAAGTACAGGTGTAATAACAAGAAAGTACTCTCCAAATTTCAAGTTCCTACGATCAGCAGTTAAGGCTGTGCGTTATGTGTCAGTCAGTAAGTCAGGACCATCTTTTATATATCGCGGGTTAAAAACTATAGGGACGTATAAGCAATATTCTTGCTTTTTAAGACTAGATATTACTGTTGGTCTTATGTAAAAAAGCATTTCAACAACATCTAATTAGTTTGCCTAATATTAAAAAATAGGTTTTGTTAATTGGCAAAATTAGAAAAGATTGGCATTATAAGAAAATAACTATTTTTTGCGTATAGGTGACAGTTCTATAAATCTGATAACAAAAGTATTTCAAGAGGACAAATCAATTCATTTGAGGCACGTTAAGCCATTGGTCTGAATGGTGAGAAAATTCGTCTAAGACTTCTGACCTAGGTGTAACGCACAGAACTCGTTTAAAAATGACGACGATTTAATTTTTTACCCGACTACGGTGAAGCGAATGGAGGGTTACGATTTTTGCCGGTGTGTATGTCTTTTCGCATGTAGTATGCATAAACTTATAATAAAATCTTTTTGGCTATACCATTTGCATCTGGCTGGTTTCGGTATCATTAATAAGTTCAAATTTTATAGAAGATATTTTCGAATTCAAATTAGAAAAATGTGTGATTTTCATTTGTTTTTCTTACTGTCAAAATGAGTGGATTTAATAAGAAAGTACGAGAGTGGATTGAAAAGTTCGCGGCCTAACACATAAATACTGAAACTATTTTAATGTAACTGACCTCATTCGATTAGTTTACTCTCTTGTTGTCAAATTGTAAAATTCTATCGCAGTAGCATTAATTGTATTTAAATTAGACTGAGTGAGCCTTTGTGCAGCATTTTTAAAGAATGGAGAAAATTGAGCAAAGTGCGGTCATCAAATACCTGTTTAAAAAAAAAAAACTAACTCCAAAAGAGCTTCACGAAGATATAGGGGGAAACTGCTTCGTCCGAAACAACTATGAAAAAGTGGGTTGCTGAATTTAAACGCGGACGAGAGAGTATTGAAGATGACCCAAGCTCTGGCCGGCATATGACGTCTAATATGGGGAAAATCTGTGATCTGATATTGACGGATCGGAGATTGACCATCAGGGAGATTGCAGACACTATTGGCATCTCGTATGAACGAACACAAAACATTATAGTCAATGAACTTGAATTTTCTAATGTTTCTGTGCGGTGGGTGGGTATCCGGATTGTTTACAGTCGAACAAAAACGAATACGCCTCACGATTTCTCGCGACTGTTCGGAAATGTTTGAGGCTGACCCACACGATTTTTTATACAGATTTGTAACAATGGATGAAACTTGGGTACACCACTACACCCCAGAGTCAAAACAGCAAACCAAGCAGTGGAAAAAACGTGATGAACCGACTCCAAAAAAAGCCAAACAATTTTGTCGGCTGGCAAGGTGATGGCCTCAGTTTTTTAGGATGCTAAGGATGTCAACATGGTAAGACTATCTTGCAAAAGGTGAAATTATAATAAACTCGGCTTATTACTGCACCCTCTTATGTCGCTTGCGCGAAACAATCAAAGAGAAAAGGCGAGGATTACTCAGCAAGAAAGTGCTGTTCCATCAGGATAATGCACGCGTCCACACGTCTGTTGAATCTATGGCTCAAATTCGTGATTGTGGTTTTGAATTACTGCCCCATCCCGCCTATTCCCCTGATTTGGCACCTTCAGACTTTCATTTATTCCCAAACCTAAAAAAAACTCATTGGAGGTCAAAAATTTTCATCAAATGAGGAGGTCGAAGCTGCGGCGAGAGACTTTTGAAGGCCTTGAAGAAACTTTTATACAGGCGTTGGAAACCAGATGGAAGAAGTGCATAGTGTTAAGTGGAGATTACGTGGAAAAATAAAATTACTTTTGCTTATATTTTATATTGTTTTCTTGCTGAGGCCGCGAACTTTTCAATACACCCTCGTAGAACTTTTCAATACATTTTTAATTTGATGACAAAAAAAGTAAAACTCCAAAGCAAGCCTCAAAATAAATGCCGACGTTTATGGATCTAGTGCAGTTTCTGTGAGAGTAGCACAAATTTAGTTTAACGGTTTTCAATCTGGAAATTTTGTTGTCAAAGATGCACGTTACAGTTGCTCTGGTCGACTTATAAGGAAATAAAATTGAAGCCATTTTTGTAAAACTGGAACAAGATCGGCATATCAGTAGTTACGATGTACCTGAAGAACAGGGGATTGACCACAAAACAGTTTAGGCTCATTTGAAAAAAGCTGGGTATTCAAAAAGATGTATATTTGGAGACCTCACGAGCTCACTGAAAGAAACCCAATGAACCATGTACTCATTTGTGATTCTTTATTACGCCGTAATAAAACCAAATCATCTTTGAAGATGCTGATAACTGGTGATGAAAAGTGGATCACGTGTGACAAGAACGTGTGAGAAAGGTCGTGGTCAAAGGTCGGTCAGGCTTTACAGACTGTGGCGAAACCGGAGTTAACTCGCAACAAGGTGATACTGTGTGTATGGTGGGATTGGAAGGGCATTATTCATTATGAGCTGTTACTGCCAGGCAGGACTATCAATTATGAACTCTACTACGAAAAACTGATCAGATTAAAGCAAGAAGTTGAGAGAAAACGGCCAGAATTAATCAATACAAGGGGTGTCATCATGATATCGCTAAACTTCATACATTTTTTGCCACTCAGCTAAAATTAACAGAGTTTGGTCGGCAGGTGTTAATATATCCGCCGTATAGTCCTGACTTTTCTTCAGATTTCCACCTGATTTAGTCTCTTAACAGTTCTTTAGGCATTGTCATGTTAACATCACACGAAGACTGCCAAAACTACTTGTTGCGGTTTTTCATCGGAAGCCCTAAAATTTCTATAGCAATGTGATCATGTCCTTACCTATAAGATGGCAAAAACTTATAGAATAAAATTATACCTACATACTTTAGTTAGATGTAAATAGAGTTTGTTAAAAAATGTTATGAAACTTCATAATTTTGTATGAAAATTCATAACATTTTTTAACAAACTCTATTGCGCGAAGAAACATGGACTAAAGTCACATGGACTACAAATACTAGGGGCCTATTTGTATCACTTTTGCAGTATTTCGAAATACTATCTTAAAAGAACTTTAAAGCGATTAAAAAAGCTCTGGCACTATCAGCTGTGCTAGAACCACGTTGAATCTCAAATTAAAAAAACTTTAAGGAATAACTGCAAACCTCCTGAAGCTTTGTGATTTTACGAGCCTGAACTGGGCACAGCGAATGAATTACTATTTTTTCATGAAATTAAGTGGCACTGATATTTGCAGAGGTAAATGGAAGCGTGAAACAAAAAAATCACGTTTGTTGTATGGGAGCCCCCTTAAATGTTGATTTTATTGTGTTTTTTAGTATTTCTTGTTATAGCGGCAATAGAATTACATGATCTATGAAAATCTCCACTGTCTTACTATCACGGTTCATAAGGTACAGCCTGGTGACAGCAAACAATCACGTTTATTGTATGGAAGACCCCTTAAATATTTATTTTATTATATTGTTGTTGTAATGGCAACAAATACATCATGTGTGGAAAAATCAACTGTCTAATTTTCACGGTTCATGAGATAAAGCCCGGTGACAGACAGACAGACAGCGAAGTCTTAGTAATAGGGTTGTCGTTTAACCCTTTTGGTATGGGACCCTAAAAATTAAAGATGCTGCTGAAAGTCACTATTCCACGCGGACGAAATCGCTGGCGGAGCTAGTACTGTGTATTATATATCATTAGATGCGGTGTCTTATTAGTGCATGCATCTATGGATGGTTATTAAGAATGAAACTAGCAGGCATATTTGCAATCTATACAAAAAGTTCAGGAAATATTACTTTTTGGGATGTCACAGACCACCCACAGACGTGTATATGGAAATATCTTCTGTTGTCTTATAGCCATAATTCATCTAAACCGCTTCCGATTAGTTTGACGTCAAGCACGCAATGTATTTTTGTTCATTAATGTACTAAATAGTACTATACTAATCCTTATAAGCCAAAGAAAATCTTTTACGTGTCGTGCGTGCATAGCGACCGGTGCGGGCCATTTTACTTTCACCACTTGATGGTTACTTTACGAGGTCTGAAAAAAAATTAGTTTGATTTTTTTACCGATCACGACACATCCATTTGTAGTTATATTTGTACGTATGTTTTTCTAACCAACTTTTCTCCTTTAACATTATAGGTAATTATAATTGTAGTAATAATAATTATTATAATGCCTTTATAGGCAATCTACCTCTAACTTATGTGAAATGAATAATAAGTGGAATTCAGTTTGTTTAGTTTTTTCACAACCCACGGCCCATTCTCCATGCCACCCGCACCCGCCAACCCGCCCTGTCACAAACACAGATCGTAGATGTGAGCGCAACAAGTATTGCGACGTTAGTGTGAGTGTACTCAATACACTGAAAAACAGTGTTTTTTTCAGGTGTTATTGGTTATGAGCCAGGAGACGCATCAAGCTGGCTGTGACGACGCATGCCCACTGTGAAATAATTTGTAGTGGTTTTTCGCGTATTGGCTACAGCGAGGAGAAGGCGCCACGTGTGGGCCTGCGTACACCCGGGGGCGGGCGCTTTGCGCCGCCCCACAACTGCATATGTAAGTGCATTGTATACACACAAGTGTCTTACACTGTAAGCTTCACGACTACATACACCCGGTCGTCATGGAGATAGCCCTGATTTTATAAATATTACCTGTTGTCGGGATTTGCGTTATTCCGCCACTGGCCGTGCAGTCGGACGGACATCTCATACGCGTGTCTATAAAAATACATTATTCTCTGTTTTCAATCTCTTTGATATGTTTTATTTATTTTATTATAATTTTAAAGTGTTTGTCTTCAATAATGCGTTCGTTATTAATTTCAAATATGATTAACGTGATTTTTATTTAACCTTTTATATTATTGCAATTTTTCAATCGGTTGCAAGATGGTGTGTTCAAAATTTCACCAAGCAACTTGCAGGTTAGATCTTTAGAATTTAATATGCGAAGATCTTTTTGTTGTCATTTTATTTTTTTTAAAGTTCTTTGTGTAGATAATGGTTTTTTGTTTTTGTGTGTTATTTAAAATTCAATAGTAAATCCTTTATTTTTAGATAGTGCTTAGTATAGGAAAACAATATGATTAGTCTCCATTCTTCAAAATTTTGTCATCATATTGAATTAGGAAAAGGATATTTCAAAGAGAATTGTTATTGTAATTCCTGCAATTGCTATAAGTATGAGTTTAGTGAAGTTAGTTCTTGATTTAGCCATAATAAAAAAAAAAATATTATAATTTGGGTTTACTTGAAAATTATTTTGTTGTCACATGTAAGAAATATATGGTATAAAAATTTAACTCCTATAAACTTACTTTTTACACATAATTGAAAAAGCAGTTAAAAATATTAAATACTAAATTTAGTCTAGTTTGTGCCAACTAAATTCCCACCATAATTTACATTAGGTAAAAGTTTTTAGAGAAAAATCTGCTTCCTTTGTATTTAATATACTTTTTGTAGCTACAGTATATATAAATGATTCGTGTATTTAAAAAATCTGAAGTTTATAATGAAAAATGCTTAATATATCTACTTTATTAGGGCGACTGCTCATTAAGAATATTTTTCAAAATGCAAAATTGATTAAATACAATAAATCTGAAGTTTTTTCAAAAGTTGTTTTTAAGATCTATACAATGAAGTATTGGGGCTTTTCTATTAAATTAACAAAGTTTTTTAATTCCCGAACTTTGTTCGTAATAAGATAATTACAGAAATCTATTGAAATATATGAAATATTGTAAGGAGAGGATAAATACGGTAGGACAATTTAAAACAAAAAATTTGGAGAATGAAGCTTCCATTTTAGTTTAGCATTGAATTATGATTTGCTATTTTTGCTGTGAATGCGAAGGAGACATGTATGTCTATACCGAAACAATCTATTCAGTCCGTTTTGTATGTATTATTTATGTGATTTGAAGAATAGACTTTAAGATGAATTATCTATTGTGTTAGTTGTAGTGCAGCTATGTGCCGAGACCTTATCAATCTTTATTATCACTTGATGCCATTGATATAAATATTTTTTAATGTTTGGTAGTGGTTAAATATTTGAATTAAATCTGTATTTCAAAGTACAAATATAAATAAACGTTAGACATCATATAATTGCTCAGATCACAAATGCAGAAGCTTTTGGAAAAGTTCACTTTTTTACATTGTCCCAACGGGCATCGAACCCGGGATCTTAAACATGACCACACCTTGAAACCGGCCTGGGAGAATATTTTTAGTTCACTTTTAAGCTAATGACTCGAGTGATTTTGCATTAATGTTTCATCTGTTGTTTAATAAATGTTTTGTACATAATAAGTCTAAAATTTTGTGTCTATCTTCTTTATAATTAAAAGCCGTTGCGATTTGTGTCATTTTAGATTTTTTCTTTTCATGCATGTGAATGTTAGTTGAGAGTGCTCTTTATACAAACTAAATTGATAAAGTATTACTGTTTTATTTCATATATAAATTTCCCATAGTTTTAAGTAGCTTCAGCGAAACTGAGTCGTTGCATTGTCAGCGAATGATAGCTGCTCTGTTTTTATAATTGTCTTCGAGGATGTCTTTAAAATGCAAAGCTGCTAATATACACTTCAGGCGAGAATTTTTTGTCCTTTTTAGCGTAATATAAAGTTTATCTTTTGCTGGCGAATATAATGACTTTTGTATTTAGTTCGGCATATCTTGTGTTATTTTATTCTTAGTGATTGACATGTACAATAATTTTGTCTAGATACCGGCCTGATGTCGGTTTATTGACATCGGAATCTAAGAATGATGTAGGGTTGAACCCTCACATCATTGCCCCGGATCCATTCGCATCAGACGACTGTTTAGATGTCTTTTCACCGGACCATCAGCTCCTACTGACAAGGTTAGTACTGTAGTTGATAAGTTTGATCCGGATATATGCCGCTGTTCAGCTAGCATTTTCCAAAAGTTCTGGAACGTTTGATCAACGACGATGCATTTACTCGCGACGTAAAGATAACACTAAAATCAATATTGCTGATTTCAAATACCTATAAATTTTCTGTTAAGACTCGTCATTCATCATTAATGGTCACATATTAACATACGGCCTGTTTTACACATGACAAATACTCTTTCTAATAAACTAATAACTGTAATTCGGTCTTTGTTAGTTTTGGAAACGGTAAGGTTCACTACGACTCAGAAGAGATTTTTTACTATACATAAAATTGCTATTGACTATATGTAAATGCTGAATGAAAGAAAACGTAATTATAAAATGGGCGGTTTTAACTAAATCCGAGTTCCATATACATTAAAAATTATAATCGCAAATCTGGTTAATAAATTAAATCCGGTTTTAAGAAATATAAATATATTTCTAAGACTACTAAGATAGTTGATAAATGAAATGGTTGGCAAAAAATATAATCTGAAATAGGTGGTAAAACTACAAAAAAAAAAAAAAATTAAAAAATCGAATAGAAATCTCTAATAATCATAAAGGCGGTGTTCTAGTTCAAGAAATTTTATTTGAAGTCGAGCAGTTAGCAAGCTAAAATAGTTATTTTTAACAATCGAAAATGTGGTTAGCAAATTCAAAAACAGAGTTTAAAGTAAAGCCATTAGAAGCATGATTCGCTCAATCAAAAATTCTAACAAAGTTTGCTAACTGCTTTTAGTGTATAAAAAAATATTATTCGATTTTTTTTAAAACTCTAGTGCGACTGATGCGATATGCTTGAGCGTACTGATGAAGCGCGATGCAATTCGACCGATTTATTGGAGATCCCTATATTAAAACTTTTTTCTAAATTCAATAATATTTTTTATTTACGTATAGTGTGTACTGTGGGATCTGCGATTACGAAGAATAAACGATGATCGCAAAGGCCGGTAATCGGATGGTTTTATTTAATTTTTATTGAACGGGGTGGGGCGGGGTATGGCGGGATTTTGCTCTCTTTTCTTGTTCTATGTTTGATCTGTGATTGTGAAATTTAAGCGACCTTCGATAAGGTCAGTAATGGATGGGTGATCAATTTCTTTGGTTTGACAGGCGTTGCTGGATGGGGTGGGGTGGTGCGGGGTGTGGCGGGTTTTTGCTGTGTTCTTTTTCTCATTTGTACCTTTGGTTAGTGTGTTTGATTTGTGATTGCGAAGATTAAGCGTTTGCGAAGGCCAGTAATGGGATGACTGATCAAGTTTTTTTATTTGGCTGATCATGATGGGGCGGCACATAAATGCGTTACGAGATGGGGCGGGGAGCTGTAGGGCGGTTCGGTGTGTTTTTGCTCTTTTCTACTCTCTTATCGTATTCACCAACCACAGCTGATTAGTAACGTGTAAAAAAAATTGCCATCCATCGATTTACCGGCCTTTGCAAACGTTGCTTGACCTCCACAATCGCAGATCAAACACGCTAACTACTTCAGTATCGAACTAATCCACCCAGCGTTCCTTACTGGATCTGCGTGTAGGTTCTCACACGGAGTGGTGCCGCTAAGCCGTAAATATTTAACGGATGAAAAATTCCACTCAGCATCTGGGCCCACGTGTAGGACCCATTGCGGTTTGATGGTACGAGAACACAATTCTTAATGGCATTCCCCAGCAGAGGGTACACCCGGTATATACTACACCGTGGCGGTTTTCGTGGGTCCCCTTCTGGTGACGGAGGAGATCGTCGATTAATCTTCGCAATCGCAGATTGAAAACCTCAAACCATGAGGATTCTATGTCAATTCAAGGAACTTATTAGAATAAAACGGCAATTTCATACTTTAACACCTTATACTTGTGATTGTGACGGAATCTTTTCTCGATGTTACTGAACAGAAAAGTTTATCAACAGTGTTATTATTTTGTTTACGGGATTTGATTCGTCTCGGCGCATAATGTCCTTTTCTCAAAATGTCCTTTCTCGGAATGTCCTTTTCTCCAAACGTTCTTTCTCAGAATGTCCTTTCTAAAAATGTCCTTTTCTCGAAATGTCCATTTCTCAACATGTCCTTTTCTCGAAATGTCCATTTCTCAAAAAGTCCTTTTCTTAAAATGTCCCTTTCTCAAAATGTCTTTTTCTCAAAATGTCCTTTTAATATGCAATATTTAGTTAACAAAAGCCACATTTAAAACTTTTTAGTCAGTCGCTTATCTACCTATATTATCATCAAAACTATTTTGAATATATTAAATTTAAGTACATTATTTAAAAAATCTACTTAAACATACACAAAATCAAAAAATTTGAAGTTAAATAATTCTAAAGAAGGTCGTAATATAACGCGAATGTGCTCAATAATCCCATTGATCCCAACCAATGTTATACCTCCAGCATGGCAGCATACTTTAGAATCGTCGCCAAATAACGAAGAAGTGAGAAAGTTCAGTCGTTATTCTGAGAGGCAGTGGTATCCACATATATCATCAACGACACTGAGTTGTGCGGGCGAGCGTCATCGAACAACTAATGCCCTAGAAGGTTGGCATCAATGATTAAATGGTCGTATCCCAAAAAGGCCAAATTTTTATTTCTTTATCTATAAATTAAAAAAAGAGTGCAGTCATTGGGATAGTCACTTAAGAACTCTTTGTTCACAAACATGATGAGTAAGAGACGAAATAGAGATATTGTATTCGATAAAAAATATAATAATTATTTGAATCTCTTACAAAACAACAATTTAGCCCTACCGCAGTTCATCCGTAAATTGATTTATTTACGTCTTTCCATGTTCAAGTAATTTTTTTACTATGTGTTATATTAATAAGTTGATTACTTTCCATGTTCAAGTAATTTTTTTACTATATGGTTTAAGAATAATAACTTATGTTGATTAATTCCTTAAATTATGATTATTATAAAACAAAAATACTGAATGAAGTACTTACTGTTTTGTTAATTAATACAAGGTTTAATGTTAATAATGAAAAATAAATAATAATTTTTGACTACAAATAAAGAGACCGATTTATGATTATTATTATTTGTTTGTTTTATATCCAATTTTTCCATCATATTTCTATAATTTTATCACTATATTACTCATTACTTAATACCATTTTTAGACTTATTAAAAATAAATAGTTTTGATGATAATATAGGTAGATAAGAGACTGACTAAAAAGTTTTTAATGTGTCTTTTGTTAACTCAATATTGCATATTATAAGGACATTTTGAGAAAAGGACATTATGAGAAAAGGATATTTTGAGAAAGGGGCATTTCGAGAAAAGTACATTTTGAGAAAAGTACATTTTAAGAAAGGACATTTGGAGAAAAGGACATTCCGAGAAAGGACATTTTGAGAAAAAGACATTATGCGCCGAGACGATTTGATTACTTAGTTATCTTGCGAAAAATATTGTTATTATCAATGACATTTTATCATTAGACACGTCATACCCGTACATTATTGTATATTAAAATCAATGAGTTTAATAACTAGAGAAGCAATTCCATACAACAGACGCGCCAAAAAGCGTAGCATTTTTCCGAAATGAGGACGTAGCTTTGCAAATAATATTTACACTATGTATTATAAATAGATTTATTATATTTGTCTCCCTCATATCTACGATTAAACTTTAAACTAAACAAAGACAGAATATGTGCGAACGACAGAATTAACGGAAAAATGGGTAATTGATATTGTATTGCCAGCTGTCGAAAATTTCACCCATTATAATGAATGAATGAATGAACGAGTAGTGTAGATATATGCATAAAATCAATTAGTAAAATACTATAACTTTGAAAAATTCTTTGAAAAAAAATTGAAAAAAAAAAACAATCACGGAAGTAGGCTCTGTGCGTATAAATCCCTTTGTTTTTCGATAAAGTCAGTGTTTAAGACAAAAACATTTGTCAAAGTTCATAAAACATCAAACAAAGGTTCAATTTTACGTATTTTCAAAAGTTGTACCTCGACAACTAACGAATTCCACGCTTTGAAAAAATTAAACTACCTCTAATAAATGTGTGCGTGTATAAAAAATTATCAACACAATTAGCGCAGTTGCCTATACTAAAGCTGAGCCATATAATTAATTATAAAAAGATATTTAGATAAATTATAGCCACGAAAAATAAAAAGAAAAGGCTCCTATATAGTTGAGGAAATTGAAAGTAAATAGCAGTGGCAATACTGACGACAAAATGTCGAAATTTTATTTGTGAAAATCAAATATTTTATTTTATAAACTAGCTTTAATTTTGTATTTATTGCCAAAAATATTCTTTCGTATTATGAGTATTTGTGAAAGAGAATCGTATTTTATCTACTGTTTTTCTTCGTTTTTGTGGAGCATTTTTTTGTACTTTCTCGGCGGGAGTTGAATGAGTAATGAAGTGAAAAACGAAAAAACTAAGACTAACGTCTTAGTTTTAGTAGCTTCCGATTTTTGGTATGTATTGCGTATCTAGACATATTAATATCATTGATTAAAATAGCGTAAATTGTATTGTGTTAGCGTAACATTATAATATAATTACCACAAAGGGCGCTAAGAAATCAATAGTTAGTTCCTATCAGAATTTTCAGCATATCTCTTTGGAACATTGATTAGCATATCTTTTTGTGTCAACTGCTGCATTTTCATAGAACACGATGTATGAAAAATTAGCCGCGTTCAATGAAGTTTTATTATTTTGTTATAATAGAGAAGACTAAGTTCAGTATTTACGCATGAAATGACATCTGTTTTGTAATTCTAATTGTCAATATGTATTTTTTTCAGTTCTCTTTCCTATGTCCTTACCCTTCATTCCTAATACTACATCTTTTCTTTATCCTTCTCTAATCGTACTACTTTACAAGCTGGGTTTGCTGTCTGTTCTTATATATATCTTTCGGTTAAATATAGTACTCCCAATTTCCCTTTATTATTTTACGGTTTCTTT